TGCTTGAGCCCACGCAGTTACAGGCTGTGGAAGAGACACATGCATAATTCATATGCTTTTAATTAAACTGCAGTATCTTTAATATATTGCATTTATTGTAATTACATTCATCTCTTCACACTCTTTGACCTACTGAAGCACCACTTTGTTTTCTTTCTTTCAGTTGCAATATGAGTATAAACAACACTACTTGGGCTTTAGGACTAAACCTGCCAGAGCTGTGCCAGGCTCTCCCCGCTGGAGACAGCAGTGCCAGCACACGATGCTCAAGGGCTGCTCAGGGAGATAGCAGCTGCCCTGAACTATCCCACAGCTACAGAGGACAAGTGCTGCATGTTCTAAAGCTCCTTCCTGGGGCTTGGCACAGCTTCTTTGGAAGGGTTTTCCAGCAAGCAAAGTTGTCCTGCAAGAGCTTTGTTCAAGTAGAGACCACTGTGCAGCCAGGGCTCTGCAAGCGGGGATGAACAGGCCAGTGGGACAGTGGCTTGTGGGTGGCAGAGGTGGCCCTTGGAGATCAACTGAGCCACCTTAGTGTTGCAGAAAGATAACTTTCAGGAGCAGGGTGTCCTTAGTAGGAAGTGGAGCTTGAAGCTTTTGCCACTCAGTTCCTAGGTAATGCACGCAGCTAGGAAATGGGTCACCCCTGAATACCGGGCTGCAGAGACCTACAATAGCACACCCTTCTTTGACAAACTCATTGCTGAGCTCCCCATGGACTTGCAATGGGACCTGTCAGGGTCAGCTTACCTGCACCTCCTGGTGTTTGGGTATGCTCAGCTGGGCAGGTCAGGAAGCAGCAGCCATGGTACAGCTCCTGTGTGGGAAGATGCTTTAAGCCACTGTGGACAGGACACAGGACTAGCAGTGCAGGGGTTCAAGTCACAATGCTAATGCAGCTTTTCCAGAGAGAGAACCAAAATTGTGTTTGCTCTGGCAGGATGTGAGATAGAAATCCCACAAGGGGAGGAAGAGTGCAGATGACTTATGACTGTCAGAAGAAAGTTTTTCCCCCTCCAGGAAGGCATTTAACAATTCTGGTTTGTTAGATGCTGCTCTACAGGCCTGATTTTTGTTTTGTTTTTCTCAGCACACAGACACAAAGGAAAAAAAACAAAAAGCAATTAAAACTGTTTCACTGAGACTTAATGGTATGGTTTTTATGTGAGACTACATGGGCAAGACCAGAAGTTCGTTGTTGATTTCACTGCCAGAGAAGTAGTTTGGGGTAAAGAAGAAAAGCACTCAGCTTGGGCTGTCCTTGTGATTTATTACCACATAACGTGTAGCAAGATTGATTCCAGCTGTGTTGCTTTGGGAAGAGAGCACTTACTTGAAGACACCTGAAGAGAATTAATGAGTTGGCAGTTTGGCTTTATAAAGAGATGAGACTTCTCTCTCTTCTACCACATTCCCCATTTCTTTCCAGTGCTTCAAAGTCTGGACTTGAGGAGGCCTAAAAGTGAAGAGCAGGCAGTGAGCTGAGGCAGCTGCAATGTGAGCAGTGGGACAGATGAAGCGGAGATGGAGAGATGAGCGTGACACAGGAGCAGGGTAAAAGACAAGCGTGGATGGAGGAACACCTGCTGAGGGTAAGGGAAAGCGAGGGCTGGCAAGGGGCTTCAGAAGTGCAAAAGACTTCTATTTGGAAAGTGAACAAGGCCAGAGGTGGGTGTGTTGGAGGGGAGGGATGCTTGTGGATGAAAGAAGCTGTCAGCCATGAACCTGTCAGTGGTGAGTGATGAGCAGAGGAGGGAAGAGGATTAGGAGAATGGCATGGGGACACACGAAGGTGCTGAGGAGCAGGTGGCTAGAGGAGATACCTTCTGCTCCTGGTGGCTTGTGATCACTAGGGCAAGCTGTCAGGCTGGCCAGAACTCACACTGAGCCTTGGCTTGTAATGGCTGGAAATGAAAAAATGGGAGTTCTCTTTGGTTGCAAAGACAGTTGACTTCATGGCTTTCCCTCCCTGTCCCCATACGCAGTCAGCCTAGGTGGAGGTGCTTCTCAGAGGTGCTGTCATCCTTGCATTGCCACAAAAGAGCTGTGAGCCAGTGTGATGAGGGTACTGCAGGGTCTCATTCAGAGTGAGCGCCTCTACTGCTGAAAGCACTGATCAGAGACCTGCCACAGAACTCACTCTGTAGCTCGGCTTTGAAGGGCACAAGTTTGAAACACCTTTGCAGGAGGGAGGAGTGACCAGCCTTGCAGTAAGGCCCCTGCCATTGTTTCACACACCAGGAAGAGGTCAAGTCACGCTGATGCTCCCCACAGCCTCAGGTGTCTCCTCATGTCCACACCGCCCAGGGGCAAGGCAGTCTACAAAATCTCCAGAGCCCAAACTCTTGCATGTGTCCTTGTTGTGGTGATACAGCTGAAGCTAGGACAGCCCCTTACACACGCAACCACCACAGCTCTCAGCCCCAAGCCTTCCCTGGGTGACCCTGGACCTGCAAACATCTTCCCAGTTCCCAGCAGGGCAGTGCACATCCCACCTCAGAGGTTGCAGAGCTTGTGTCAGCCACAGCATGAAATGTACCACAGGAGGGAAGGAAGTGCTAGGGGGTGTTGGCAGTCCATGTCCCCGTCCCCCCCCCCCCCAAAAAAAAAAAAGACCCCAACAAACCCTTTTCCCCTCCTGCCAAACCAACCAAACCCCCCCCATGCTCTTGCCAAGCCTGGCACCACTGAACAGGGCCAGCAGCTAGAACAGAGCAGGAGGCAGTTAGCACAGAAATCGCTTTTTTGGTTGTTGTTTTTGAAAGCAGCAAGGCAAATAATTCAAAAAAAAACCCCAAACCACACCTGAGTTCTTCAGCTCGCTGGGGCCCTGTGATGCTAAGCATCACTGACCAAGCATCTTCAAAGGAAAGAATCTGTGCTCTGTTTTCCTTGGATTTCCAAAAGAGTTTGCTAATGAAAGGCAAAGGAAGAGCAATGCAGGAGGCTAAGTGGCTCTCTGCTTGAAGAGCTGAATAATCAGTGCATGAAATAGTAAGGATCCATGTGGCTTTTACACCTCATTGCTGTGCCAGATACTCTGATGGTGGAGCTGTGCTGTCACTGGCATTGTATACCACACACACTGTAGAAATGTTCATTATAACCCACATAATTAGCATCAGTTGCATATTAGCTATGTAATGATGCAATTTTATATATGCAGTTTTAAAATAAACTAAAAAGGCAAACACTGGTTTAGGCAATACTTTTGCCATAAGGCCACCCAGCAGGTGATGGTGTGGGTTGTTTGCTCCTCATTCTCCATGTTGTTTTCCTCCGTTCTCCCCTGACCATTGCTAGACCTGAAAGCCTATTGAGAAGCCACCTCACATACCATATGGGCTACTGGAAGCACATAAGACATAACTGCAATGGTCAGGGTTGTCAGACACATCTGATGCCACAGCTAAGCTGATGCCATGCCCAGTTTCTCACAAGGGCAAGCTTGCTCTCCTCATCTGACACCAGAAGCTGGGGATACTCCATGGGCCTGGCCTGAGGTGGTTGGGAAAGAGAAATGGTAGGTCTTTTACTTACTGGCGTCTCTTACAGCAGGTCTGGTGACAGGCAGCTGTGGCACTGCATTTGCTGCATGGTTGCCCTATAGGGCAAGTTGCATGGGCATGGGGATCGCACTGCTGGCCAGCCCCAAAGACTTCACTGCACTTGAAAGAGCATGGCCATGGCCTTTCACTAGGGCTGGGTTTTGTTCCACCCTCCTGCACCTATAGGGCTGCCTTCCTGCACCAGTGCAGCAGCATTTGTGCAACACAGCCAGGCTGGTAACTGTTGCTTCATTTTACCCCCTGCCCTAACAGTGCCTGCATGCAGGGCTGGTTTTCTGCTCTAGAAAGCATGTCCCCTGAGAAACAGGATTTACCTCAATGACCTTGCACCCAGTCCCGTAGATCAGTCGCCTGATGATACTAAACCAAAACATTGTTCAGATTTACATCTCTCGAGTCCTCACGCTTCTCAGCTGCAGCCAAGTTACATGAGAGTGTTTGCTGACCTTTTAGCACACAGCTTCTCATTTCCCTGCACCCCAGAACACTAATTCTTTAGTAAAGATGTGTTTTAAAGGGAATTAATTAACTGGGTTTGCTGGCTGGATAATCAATTTTCTTGGTACAAATTGAGTACTGACGGAGAAACGTTGATCTGTTGCTCCTCTGCTTTCCCTGCATGGAGATTAAAAATAGAAGAATACCCATTTGGAGAAATTGGGATGGGATCATACTGCTTCTGAATATAGAGTTCTGGCAACCTCAGAAAACGGGGTGAGCATTACTGGGATTTCATTTCATAAGTGCATTGGAAAACTTAAATGTCAAAATGTCCTGATTTAGAGATCTTGGAACAAAAAAAATGGAAATGTTTCATTCTGAAGCAACTTTTCATTTAGACATTTCAAGAATAGCAAAATCAAGGGCAAAAATCTGAGTGAAATGTTTCAATTGTGTTAAACAAAAAAATATTTACAATGAATGGGCTTTGTCTTTGCTGCTGATGGGTTTTTGTTTGTTTGTTTGAGGTTTCTTGTTTTCTTGGTTTGGTTCTCTGTATTTTCCTTCATGAAGCAGTTTAATAACTTGGGGTGTCTCAGCCCTGTGTGAAAAGGAACATTTCTCCCCACCCCTCCCACTCCTGCAATGCTTTTCTCCCCCTGTTGAGCCCCTGCTGAAAGACCAGCGACCTGCCATGTTTCATATTTCTCCACCTTGATCCTGCCAGTGTTTTTCCAGCTCTGGTATTCAGCAAAGCATAACCCAGCTAATGACCCAACAGATGACTGGTACCCTACAACGCTAGTCTGTAACCTTAAGCTGGATAAAACCCTCCAGGCGTTTTGAAGAAATTCTCTGTTTTTTCCTTAGGTTGTACTTTATTTTTTGTAAAGATGAATCCACTGCATTAGCAACCAAATGTTTCTTTAATTGGCACACTGCCCCATGCCTCCTAAATGACTGATTTGACTACAAACTGCTCAGACTCTGTGGTTTATTTTTCATCTCATTTATTGCAGGCATGAATACAGGAACAGGTAAACAGCTGAGCCGTAAAAGTTTCTCTCTAGGCATGTTTTCAACAAAATGCCATCATACACTGTCTGATGATACACACTGCTACTCGGATGAAACAAAATGGTGTGAGCAGTCTTACTTTAAAGCTGCCACCCACCAGTCAAAGCTGCAGCTGCCAGAGAAGCCTTCTCCTCCACTTACTCTCTCCCTTCCCTCCTTCTCCACGTCATCTACAGGTTCTTTTACGGCACTTAAACTTTACAAAACACAGTTGTGAGGCTGATCTTACATGCAATTACAGAGCAGCCTCAGTATATTTATTGCAAACTCCTTGAACATCAGGACATTAAAAAAAAAAAAGAAAAAAAAAGTTAAAAAAAGAAACACTGTCCCATTGCATAATTACGAGTAGTTTTCTGTAGCCAATGAACCAGAAATGTATTCAGAAACAACAACAAAAAAAAGAATAAAAAAAGAAAACCAAAGGATAGCTGTAAACAGTGCAAACAAAACACGATGCTGCCTCCAATGAAACATTTCACTGCATTGCCAGCTCTGTTTCAAATGGGCACGTAGGCATCCTGTTGCAAGAGAGTTGTGAAGCCACGAACAGAAACTTTGGAGGAGTTAATTTTCATACATTGCACCTTCAGGGCCTAAGGATGTTCGAAACGTGAAAAATCTACACACGCTGTGGGACCTGATAGAGACGTGGGATCCCAAACAAGGAAAGAAAACCCGGTTATTCCTTTTAAAACAAAATAGTGAGAACAGCTGAACCACACAAAGCCAAAGCACAATTGGCTGGCTTCCATAGGAGACTGCAATATGAGAAAATATTTAACTCCTTGCATAGCTATTTAAATGGCCGATAAATTTTGCTGGAATCACCCAAACATGACAACATTGCATTCTGCCGCTTAGAGACTTCACGCTGGAAAGCTGGGATCTGCTGAGTGGGTCAGAGCATCACTCGGGCACTGTTTAAAAGCCAGGGCCACCCCTGGCAGGCTTTGCCAGCGTGGCGATAGCAGGAGGTTTCATCAACCAGTGCCTCCCAAACCGGGCACAACTATAACAAAGCCTCTGTGCTTACTATGCCACTGTAAGTTACTCCAGCTCTCTGTTCTCCCCATAAGGGACACAAGCTGTTCTGACAACAGGGTGTTTCTGGTAGTATATTTACACCTAACGCGCAAGGCTTTTGCTGGCAGAGCTACATCGATCACAAATCATACCTCAAAGCACCCTCGATGATATGTCTGTGTTGGCAAGGGTTTGCAATGTAGACCTAACCAGAGGGACGGAGAGCAGGATTCATCTCACTTAACTGTAAGCAATATAAAGGTAGACATTTAAGTCAGAGGCACCTCCGGAAGACAGTTCCTTTGATCTCTTGTCAGGTGAGACTTGAGCATGTTAACTTTAGGTAAGATGAACCCTTTCCCAGGAGAGCTGAAGAGACAAACTCCTCTCAGCCACCCTTTCCCGTCACCAACTCTGGAGACCATGCTTCAGAAGGCTGCTGTCCAAATGCGTTATCTTTACACGTGTCAATGTACATGATAATGATAGCCTGTGCTGGGCTTCATGCTGCCACAACTACATATGCAAGCTCATTAAAGCTAGCTCAGATACTTCTGCACTATTATATAGACATACCCTCGGCAGAGTATCCTTTAACACCTGTGAAGTTAAAGTCTAGGGGCAAATCTAGGCTATCTGCCCCTCAGCATATATTCATGTTGACATTGTCTTGTTTACAGTAGTTTTGGGTAACATGTGTCCTAACACTGTAATTCCCAACCAGACGTGAGGCAGGAGTGTTTATTCAGAGGATGTGAAAACTGAGACACTTAAGCGTGGCTGAAGAAAGTACACAGTAAGAAAGAACAAGGCGATGACATTCCACAGTTAAAAGTTTAGTTTGATAACAGTAGAACAGTTTTAATAAAGCTCCATTAGGCTGCAGAATAGGTGGCAGCCAGTGGATAAGACACTAAAACAAGACAAGGCAACATACTTGGGGTTGTTCTATGGAAAACATCCCCCAGGACCTAAGTGGCCATGCGAGCCTTTCCCTCTTCTCCTGGTGGAAACCAGGGAGGGAGGAGTTCCTGCTTTTCTTGGCTATGCCAGAGCATGACTTAACTATAAAGACTTGGCCGCTGTAAAATAACCTTGCTTCATATTTCTTGTTCTCCAGTTCTATTTCAGCTCAAGAATTTTTATACAATGGGAGCAAAAGGTTGCATTTAAAATAGTAAATAAATAGCTTGATCACAGGCCAGAGTATCTGATGGGCTGGTCTGAGGTCTGGCATTCAGTTTTGATAAAGGCTTTTGCTTATGTGACCAGACTGCCCTGATGTGGGTAATCGGATCTGTTTGCCCCCAAACCTGAAGGCATATTGCGGGGTTCCCAAATTCCACTCCATGGCAATCAGCACAGCTGATATGTGCATTCACATCAGGGTTTTTTCTGTTTTTCCTTGACAATGACTTTGTGAAACTGCTGCCAGTTCACACACAACTGGGGGTTGCCTAACAGTAGGCAAAAGACCAAGTTCAGCTGGAGTCAGTGCTGTGCCATTCTCAACCTTACTTTGCTTTCCTCTCCCAAAACAGAAGCTTTAATTATAATTTTCTTTTATTTGTTCTTCACAGTGCTCATTTTCACTTGAGCACAGACAAAATGGGCTGCTCTTCTCCACCCCCCAGTCCCTTCTGGAAAGCGGTGAGAAAAGAGTAACAGGACATGGAAGATGCAGGCTCTTGTGGTTGTTGCATTTCCCCTCCTTTCTGATTTCTTCATAGGGGTTTAAAGTTCCTCTGTTTTGAATAACCTTGGATTGATGGAGTGGTACATTAAAATATAAGGAGCAGAAGTGTCCTGGGACTGTAACTAGAAGGTGGGCAGTGTACAAGTCGCATCTGATCACCCCACAAAGTCACCTGAGCTCTCTGAAATCTGCAGTCCAGGTATGTTTCTGTAGCTCCTTGTGCCCATTGGTCATGTTGAGCTACTTCATTACATTTTGTATTGTGAGTTTCTATCTAATACTTGTGCTGGGCTTTTTGCCCTGTTTTACTGCAAACTGAATTTTTGGGGTTGGTGGATTTGACTGGGAAGCCTAATGCCAATTTCTTGTCCCAGTAAATATAAAATAGACAAGTCATTTTATACCTCCAAATTGCAATCCACAGTGCTACGATGCTCTCAAGAGCTCTCATTTCAGAAAAACAGCATAAGTTAACTCCAAAGGAAACCCAGTCTCACATCAAAAACTTCCCAGGCTCCACACAAACAAACTGCTTAAGTTGAGATAAAGCCATTGTAATCAGTATCAAATTAAGGGCAATCTTTTATCTTAATACAAACAAGAGAACATACAGAGTAACAGAAAAATATACATCTTCAGCCATACAAAACGCACAAAAGCTTTCCCTTTGGAAGAGTACCTTGTAGCTGACAGCTGTTGGTAGCTTTCTAGATGACCCTGCAATACTGAACAGGGGGGAATGGAGAACTTCTTTCTTCTTTTTTTTTACCTAGGAAATAGTTGGTAGCATTACCTGTATACCATAAACACCCTCCCTGGGGCTGTGGTTCTGCTAATGCTGGACCACCCACCCCACCTGATGCCTGAGATAGCTCCACTGAATGTAGAGGCTGCTTGCGTGCTGGAGGTGAAGGGGACGTATAGTCAGGTGTACCCTTCACAGGTCTGCCAGTACACATGTGCTGATTAGTAGAGTGAAAAAAGAGGGTATAGACACAGCTATGCCATAAGCTATCGTTACTATTCTTTAAAGTGATCAATAAATTCATGTCAGTCAGGAAGGTGGTTTATCTACCCAGGAAGGAAAAAATAGCTCCCTGCATGAGCTACAACCACCCCGCTGAGGCTCTGCAACCTTCAGTGCTGGGGCAGAAGCTGTCTGAGTCTGGGCAAGCCCTAATGCCTAGGCAACCTGGAGAAGGTAAAGCTTCTCACTCAGTTAAAAAAAGTCAGTATCAAGCTAGAAAGTCAGTAGCAAATCGCTTTAAACAACTGATTTTTTTCATTAATGGAAATACGGTAGGATTTAGTTGAAGGTTTAGGTCAAGATGACAATCTATAGGGAGTGTTGGGTGCGTATACCTGTATGGTGGGGTGTCTTTCCCCCTTGCAGCTATTTATATCTCTGAGTGAAGGTTAAGGTTAGGAATTGAGTAAGACAGCCGTTTATTTTTCTGTGGAAACTAACAGTCCTGGGGTTAGGATGTAATAATCATTCTTCTGCTTTAAAAATGGTTCTTTAACAAATAGCAGTAGCTCATTGCAATTTTCAGTTGTACAAAATGACATATTTTCTATGTTACTATCAAAATATTCTGCATAACATTAATTTCTGTGCACTTATTAACATATGTACAGAACAGTGTTTCCCAATAGAAATCAGTATGCTCCTTGCTGATCCTTTTTGCCCTAGATTTACCAAAACCAAACCAGAAATTAATTGTGTTAATAGTATAAAATCTCAGGAGAGATAAAGGATTGAAGGTTGATTTCCCAGCAGCAAATGAATAAAGGGACTCCTTCAAGTTAAAGTCTAGCTGAGACTTAATTTTAACCAACCATAGTGAATCCAGGTGAGCCAGGTATATCACACGTTTTCCTGGTGCATTATGTTGAGTACACAGAAGCAGAGGAATGTAGACAGAAGGCACATGAAAGGCCCCAATCCAGTCTCCATCTGACGGAAGTGCGGATTTCATAATTCTGTCATCAAGAGTCTTTTCATCATTTTCTCTCTCTCAAGTTCACGCCTCAGAGTCTCAGCGCTGTGTAATTAATGCACAAACAGCCAGTTATGGGGACAACAATAAGTCTCAGATTTCAATTTAAAATAATTAACATTTTCAAAATACCAAAGGAGGGGAGAAAAGGCCAGGCCGATTCAGAAACAAATACCGCTTGGTATTTCTGAAGAGCAAACAGAGGCAAGAAAAAGGACATAAAAAGACCCACATGGCAAAACAGTTTAGGATTTCATCTCACCCCCATTAAAGGCTACTGATTTCAAAGGAAACTGGACTAGGACTCTATAAATGAAACAGCTACAGTAAATGCCATCACAAAAGACTGGTGTTACAGCCTTCTGCTCCTTGGCATGATCTGATACTGGGGATATCTATGTTCATGGAATTTACCATAGCCCTGCACACATCAGGCTGTGGGAAGCAGAGCCTGAAGTCCTTGCTTTCATATCCCAAATCGCTCCACAGCCAGCACACTCTGCAACACTGGGAATGTCCTGAGTTAGTGATTCCATTTCTTAATAAATAGTGTGTGTAAGGGAGGGTGGGGGAAACCAACGCAAAACTCTTTACTGTGCTGTTCTGACAGTTAAGTATCTTTATGCTTGTAAACCAGTTCAGAAATATAAACTGCAGTGCAGAAACCTTGCAGCCCATTCATGAGCAAGCAGGGGTGGAATCACCCACTTCCTACAGAAGCTGAGTTCAGCACTACAGCTCCAGGATTACATTTTCACTGGGATGATAAATTTTTCAATGAGTTAGTGATGTTGAACGAGTGTGCAGGTACAATTAAACCACCATCTGCAAGAAATAATTCACAAATGAAAATGGGAATTGACCATGAATCAGAAAGTAAGAAGGCCTCATTTATAATGATGCCAAAGAAATGCTTTTCAGCATAAGCCTAGGACTTTTTTTTTTCCTCCAGAAATATTGAACATATCCACTTCTACATTTGTATTCAGTAGCTTATCAGCTTGGGAAATTCAGCTGGGATTACATTCTAGAATAAGAAGCCCGCATGCAAAACTGGTGAGATGGAGGAATAGAAAACTGAAAGCAGGCTGCCTCTGGAAAGATGGGATGGCTTATTGTTTCTCTGAGAAACTACAAGCAAGACCACTGCAGCTTGACAGGACTTTAAAAAAATAAAGAAAAAAAAAGAAAACCAGGGTCTGTTTTTCATTTAGAAGAGCAGACATTTCTTAACCTCAGCATTCCCCCACAGATATTTCATTTCAAAAAAACAAATTGCAACAGCAATTATTAAAAGAAAACCTTTGTGGTTCAGACTTTTCTGAGGAAAATCTGCACAACCCTTTCTCTTCAGGCCACTGGCTGCAGCAGTTAATTAAGGTAGGGGCTTTTTCTCAGAGCAGATATGAGCTATAGATATTTCTTTATATAACCCTTTACATATTCTGAAGTGGGGGTTGAGCAGCAAGTAGAAATCTTTTACTATGGGGGAAATGGCAATTTATAGTAATTATAACAAGAAAAAGAGAAATCATTCTGATTCCTGTAATGCAAAGAGCATCGTAATATTTCTGTGGAAGAATTGCACAGTACCTGTCTGCCAGCGAAATTGGTTTATGCGACGTATATACTGTCTGCACCGTTGGAGTAGGTATAGTGTCTGCCAAAGATCTCAGTACTGGCGATGGAGTTACCAGCGTTATCTTAGGGGATGACTGCACTGTACAGCATTGTAATTTGCTGTCTGCAAATTCTGCCTACAAAAAAAGTACACAGACACAGAAAGGAAAAAAAGTGTAGATTAGCTTTTACTATCTTTCAGCATCCAATTCATTGCCAAACACTCAGTAACAAGTAATAATGAGAACAAACAGGAGTCTGTAGCTATAACTGCTCAGTGCCACCTCCGTGTTGCTGAACAGCCACCTCTTTTGATGGCTTTTTCAGAGCTGTGCCTGAGGGACAAGCCTGATGGCATCATGCCCTGTGTGAGATAAAACTCCATGTGTGGGACTGGCAGCATTTGGATAAAAGACATAATCAGTTTGGAGAACGCTGCTTGTCAGTATTGCATTTTCCCTAAAAATAAAGAATGCTGACTACATTTGGATTATTCTTCAGATATCCTATACAATTTTTTGGTGGGTCCCAAATTTCAAAGCGTCCATCCCTTTTCCACACTTACTAACTGGAACATGCCTCAAGAGAAATATTCTTGTAGTATCTAGTGACAGGTAACGTAAAAGCAATATTGGAAGTGCTATTCTAAGACAAAACAGCAAGCAACCATCTCCTGTCTTTCAGCACTGCATTATTACAGCAAAGACTGGGCCAGATAATAAAAGTGGAGGGATAGGATCCCTAAAAATAAAAGAGCCCTGGTCCTGCTTTTTGGCATGAACTATTTCTCATGCAAACCACACTGGCTAGTATCCTCCTGCTATCAGCTGCATTTCTTTCCTGACAACTTTTTCTTCTGAACTTGGTTCAGGCTTTAAGGCAGGGAGGAAGATAAGTCACCATCATAATGGAGCAGCTGCTTGAATAGCAACTTTTTTTTTCTCTGTCTTAATTATTTCTCAAATTCTGCAAGCCACACAGGATCAATGCTAACCATAAACAAATCAGTTTAATCAGTGGGACAATTATTTGAGCCCAGGAAAGAATGGCTGCATTAGGTTTGCGTGCCCATTGCCATTTTTTAACGTGTTTCTGCTCATGTTTCAGCTAAATGCATCTGATGTGCTCCAAAACAACCTCTGAAGCAAAAGGAATTCCATTAACTCCACAAAATTAGTAAAACCAACTAAAGAAACTTCCTCCACACTTGGCCAATTATGTGCATAAATAGTGGCTAATACAACCTGTTGGAACTTCTCTGCCATTCAACTTTTAAAACTCAACCTTACAAGCTTCAGGAGTACCAGATTTTGTGTTCCTCATGCAGGATCCATGTGCTCTGAGGACTGACAGATCTTAATTTACTTTATGAGGAGGCATCACTCTGCGAAGCTGATGGAAATTCTTCCAGCCTTACTGAAATCAGGAGGGCAGTGACAAATTACACTTGCTGAAGATTTGCCCTGAGTCCTAAAGTGTGTTTGCTCTGGATAACAGTATATTTACAGTAATCCTAAGCATCTTTTTATATATACATATATATATATATATATATGCTTGCAGAGTATGTTTGAGCCAAATATTTAAGTGGTCTAAACAGATATATTTCCATTAATTTAAATCCGTATGACTCATACCAGCCTGTGAGTATGGTCATGGAGCCTGCCATTTCTCTACAGAAATCTCTCAAATTCAGAGGGCTTTCTGGCATGCAGCTTGTTTTTAAACATTCCAGGCAACCACGTTCTCTTCTTTTACCTCTGCTAAGAACAACAGAGCTACATATACACCACCAAATTAGAAGCCCTACACAAAAGGTAAAGCCTTCCAAATGTCACCATTCTTAGCTTTTCCCTCCTCAATGACATTTCAGTGTTTTGCTCCAAACTAAAAAAAAAATAAAATAAAAAAAAGTAAAAAGTGAACGGGAAGCAAGGAAAAGAAAGAAAAAACCCAAACAAGGAAAAGCATTAACAAACGTTACCATCTGGGACTCTGTGTGACTGGAGGACACTGAGAGTTGAATCTGCCTGCCAGTCCAAGCACTGATCTAGATCTTTCCGTTACAGCTCCCACCTGCGGTGTAGGAAGCCTGCAGCAAGAAGCTCAAGTCCTCAACAGAGCCCATGCAGCAGGATGAACTGAAATGCTGCCGGGGAGAAGCACGTCTCTTTGGGCTGTGATGGAGGACCATGAAACACAGGACCAAAGTCTAATTAACCTCCCTAATTGTTTTGCCATCCTTATGCAGTCCTCTCAGTAGCTGCTCGTTTACCACAGCTATTTGTACATAACTTACTCATGTATGGAAACCTATAATGGATCACACACCATTAGATTTTTATTGTAATGGTGTTTTAAGTATTTGTGCTCTGTATTCTACCCTCCACTCTGCTCAGCGAAATGGGACTCTATAGGAAGAAGAGGGAATTTCAGAAAGATTGGTTTGAATTTTACTTTGCTTCTTCTCTCCTAACAGAGCATGACAAAAATGTCAGCATTTGAATTTACCATAAAAGAGCCATTTTCTGCAAGATAGAAATTTCTGTGGGTAAGTATATCAGGGTGGTTTCTGTTACATTTTAAAGTTCCATTGCCCCAACAATGACAAATTATTTCATACAGCCTTCCTAAATTTTGCTTTTATCATAACTCTTCTAGGCAGAAAACCAATTTCTGAACAATCATTCTAATTAGAGGGAAAACTATTTTGGGCACATCTTCTTGCTTATATAAAGTAGCATGAAAGACACAAACACTGTAACTTTGATTTATCTTCTACCACAGTTGTGTTATCTGGGCTTAGCTGATCTACTGCGACTTATTCCCATGTATTTTCTGGTACCTTTAATTAAAGCTCAACAGTGGCACTGACGCAGGCTGGGAAGGCTAACTAACTTTGGCTTTAAAATACCTATGGGGAGAAAAACAACAGATCAATCCCATGGTCAGGTTTACTGTGAAAGAAAAGCCTCTCTTTTTAAATCATTAAACATAGACAGTTATTGCACATGGCCCAACAGTGATTGAAGCTACTTATCTCTGATTATATGCCAGTTACGGATTGCTGCTACCAGTCTAAGTTAAGGTTAAAGTCTGAAATGCTTCATTTTTCCAATGTAATTTAAAAACTGTAAGTCAGCTACTGTGGGTTATAATTATAATCAGAGAGTGTTTCTTACAGGGTAGGTAATTTTGTCATACTACATAACGGCTCTGACCTTAAAGTAGTACTTAGATTGGATTTATTTTTTAAATTGTCAAATAACTGTTTCCTTATATATAAAGGTTTTGTTTATACAAGTTAACTGCTTATATGTTCCTTATAATTGTTTTGTTAATAGTTTATTTTATCAAAATGCCTAAATCCCAACCTCAGTGGAAGTTTAACAAGAATTATAGAATCATAGAAAGGTTTGGGTTAGAAGGGCCTTTAAGACCATCTAGTTTCAACCCCTTTGCTATTGGCAGGGACGCCTTGCACTAGACTAGGTTGCTCAAAGTCCTGTCCAACCTGGCCTTGAACACTGCCAGGGTGGGAGCATCCACAGCTTCTCTGGGGAACCTGTGCCAGTGTCTCACCACCCTCACAGTAAAGAATTTCTTCCTAATATCTAATCTAAATCTCCTCTCTTTCAATTTAAAGACATTCTCCCTCGTCTTATCCCTTCCTGTCCTTGTAAAAGTCCCTCTCCAGCATTCTTGTAGCCCCCCTTTAGGTACTGGAATTAAGTTCAGTACTTGATTCAAGTTATTAAGCAAACATGGGAGTTTATATGAGGATACCATTGTAATCACCAACATTAACTATAATTCTTCCTTAAAATTCAGATATCAATTCAATGAAAATCAGGCTCCTCTTTGTGATGGCACAGCAGGTGGTTTCAGGCAGGAAGCCATGCAATCACTAGACAGAGGACTAAATCTTTCCATTCCCTTATTGCTCCTTGAAAAGATGCTGTGGAACTTCACAAGTGTCCTCTACAGTCCTGACTGAACAACATTTTGGGACCAACCACTTTAGTGGCTTAGCCTTGGCCATTAACTCTTAGTCCTCTGTCTAGTAAGCAGCAATGTCTGAATGCAGGCAAGTTATATAATGGGAATATTTAACTGGTTCACACTCTAATTTCGACTTGGATTTTTTTTATTTTTTTTTTTTTAGGATTGCTTAACATATAATTTTCTGACACTGTTAAAAAAATAATTGGAATTGTGTTAAATACACAGTCTTTTAGTTGCATGTTCTACTTACAGAAAACTGTGGTACTGTTGGAAAAGGATCGAAAAAAGGATTAGATGTATCAGCAGGGAATGTCTTTATCTTTAAAAAAGATAAAGAAAAAGATGTTACTTTCAGAGCATAAAAAAGCAAAAGCAAAAGAAAAAAAAAGGCAGCAAAGCATTGCAACTACAATGATATATCCAACAAATTAGAGCAGTTCAGCAGAAATTGGACCAGACCAAAAACGACCTTCCAAAAATGCATACAGAAACCTGATGATGAATAGTCAAAGCATAAATATGAAAACTTGATAAATTAATTCTACCATGTAATTAAATCTGTTGTGTAAATACAGAGCTGACTGCAAATATAATGTATCTTCCAATCTTCCATCTGTCAACAGCCATTGGATTATTACCTGCTTCCTTCAGCCAGCCCTACATTTTGCACAGGAGCAAATTCTGCAGTGTAGGAACTCTGCCTAAAGAACTTGTCCTTTACAGATTTTAGACTTCCAAATTTTCAGGTACACGGATGAAGGCAAACGATCACATAAGGTGGGATTGAAATAACACCATACATACAAAAAGCACTGGGGACAACTGCTTGTTTCAGGCAGCTAGGAGGCCTCGTGTTAATAGGAGGGCTGTGAATAAAGGGTTGACCTTAGGAAAAGTGCCTGGAGATGGAGAAGTGAGCGACCAACACATCCATATGCTGAGAAGACTGAGAGCTCCCAGGGCTTAGTTCATGAGTGTACACTCACTGGTGGGACTAGGACCTGCTGGAAGTCACTTCTGCCCTTAAAATAATTTCAAACATTAATTGAGATTAAAAACATATTTAAATCAACAACAATCTTTGTCCTACTTCATTGTGAATGCTGTTTCTCATGATTTTCCTCTTTAGAATGCAGACATTTTTCATTCAGTAAAAGAAAGGACAAAATAAAAAATAACGATATCAATTTTGAACTACACTTTATGCTTTCTATTTGGAAAAACACATATTACAAAGGTGTGTTTTCCACTTTATTATAGAAACTGCTGTGCATTTGTTTGTTAAGCACGTATTCAAACATAATCCACTAACTACAACTATGTAACTGTTGCTTAATAACAAGAAAAGCTACCCTGAGAGCCCTGAGCCTCATAATCCAAAGCAAAACCTGAAATTATGATGTCAAATATAATAAAGTAAATGCATAGTGTTTATTTTGGAAATAAAATAACAGAAACATATTGGTTTATAAGGATGCCAAGGGAAATTAGCAGCCATCTGTGGGCCCACTTCTGCAAACATGTGGAATTAATCTTGGCACGGTCAGGCTTTTTACACATGAGGAGTATGGATAGCGAGCAAACAGTTAAGCATGTAAATACCTTTTTAACAAAATAAGGGTGTTTATAAGTCAATTACACAGGCATAAATGAACAACTGTGCAAGGGAGAAATTCTTTGAAATTGCAACTTTCTATGCAAACATATCAATCTCGCACTCCTTTTATAGTCTTATATTCATGCCTGTTAGCAAAGTATATGCATATTACATTGCTGATTGAACCTACTCATTGTATTGAAGCAATAGCTTCTAGTAAGTTTGTTATGTTTCTTTATACCCATAGGCAAGTCTGTCAAAATAAAACATGGACAGCTGCAGCATGTCTCACTCTTGAGAGACAGCAAATACCCACAAGCCCAGGTTGTCATTCTCAGGTTATAAAGGGTATAAAATGTGTTACAGTACAAAATACAAGTGCACTCCATTATGAACACAATGTTTGGGCCAAAGGCAAACAGGGATGGGAAGCTGGTTGTTCATATGAAGTATGAGTTTGATATTCTACAGCCAAACTCTCTCTAATTTGCAGGTTGGTCTCATTAAAGAAATGAAGCTCAGTTACTGAATAGAGTAAAAAAGGACACAGAACAATATTCAAGAGCCGTTGGGGATTTGGGACAAGTGGCACATAAGAAGAGTCAGCCCTGATTACAGGCTGAGGCATACAGCCATGCAGAATACTCTCTTGCAGAGTCAGTACTGCAATCTGTGGATGTTCCTGAGGCCAGCCTACACATCAGAACAGCAAAAATGGTCAATCTGGCTTGGTTATCAGCATGATTTCCTCTCTCGGGGAGCTGTGCTTAGTTAATCTTGGGAAAAAGACAATCTTGACAAAAAGACAATCTTCACAAATGAGAGGCTCTCTAGGTTCTAAACCCACCAATTTCTGTCAATTTAAAGAAACTGAAAACAGAAATTAAGGAACAGAGGGGAAAAAACCATGCTTGTGTTCAACTTAAGAGTGACAAACAGAAACTATCCTGCTTAGCCCCCAGGATTTGCTTTTTCTTCTTCTCATCTCTTTTTCCCTCTGAGAAGAGACCATTGTTACTCAAATGGCACAACGGAGTTTATTGGTTTGGCCAGCATCTTAATATGAGTGCTGCTGCCAGCTCCGACAGGCAAAGCAGAGGGACAACACTGCTGTCTCCACAGCACTGGCAAGAAAGTCTTACCTATTGATGGCTTGGCTCTTTTCAGGAGGAAGCAGGTACAAGATCCTCATCCATGCAACAGTAGAAAAAAATCTGTATATTCGAGAACACTTTCAGGAGAATTTGAGAACTAAGGATACGCAGGATGGGGAGACAGTCATGTGGAAAACACCAGTTAAGCAACGGGGTTTTGTGGCACTGCATTTGCAAATTTGAACAGTCTTTTCACCCAGGAATGCAATTTGTCCTGGCTGTCCTACACGTCCACCATGGCCAGCAGTGTGCTGACAACAGCAGCAGTTGCCAGCACCTGAGATGAGGAAGATAACCCTGTGATTCCCATTCCACAAGAAAAGCAGCATCATGTGTGAGTCTCTTCCTGACCCTTCTCTTGGGGTTGAGTCTATTGCATGGACTCAAAACTCTCAGAGTAGCTGGGAAAGCAAAAGAACTCCCTGACCAGAACCAGAGACAAAGACCTAAATGTTATGCATTCCCCACACAGTATATAGCCACTCTCCCTGCCCTTAGGAGGAAGACAGACCAGACCCTCAAACATCTCCTGACTCACGTGGCAGAAGCAGACCCTAAACTTCTCCTGGGTGCCTTTTTCTCCATGTTGCTGCAGCATCTGTTGAAAGATGCCACCTGGGGACAGAGAAAAGAAGAGTAGAGCCATCACCACCACCTCCCACAAACCCTTAGGTCCTTCAGTTCTGGAGACCTTCAGCAGCTTCTGGACTTTGCCTGGGATTGCAAATACGAGGGGAAAAGGAAGAGGGAAGAGGAGGTCTGCATCTCTATGTGCAAGACAGTCTCATGAAGCTGAATTGTAGCTGCTCAGACTAGCAACACACACTAGCTGCTAGTGCATGGATTGTTGCTTAGTTATTCTGTCTACTTCAGTATAAGACGAGAGAAATAACAACTTTGAAATTTAAAGCTGAGCACAGAAATTACTGTGGTGGCAGGTGGGTGCAGCAATTGTGTCCATGTTGTAGAGCTGCTTAGATGAGCACGTTCTGGCACAATCAGGCTCTTCCACAGGAGCAAATGGTACTAACTGGTGTCACAGAGGCTACAGAAATATCATGAGCAACAAGAGGTCAGGGTTGTGCTCTCAGTAACAGCATAAACAGACTTTTAACACTTGATTTCAAGCATGCCTACTCTCTCTGCAGGGCTAAAACAGTCTTGCAGCCAAAGTCACAACCATAAAACAACCGTTAAGGCAGGTCCCATCTTAAGTAACTGCCACGTCAAAGGGGTATGGCATGAAGGGGGAGTGAATGCGTTCTATGCTCCAGTGGCATCTCGCATACTGAGGGCTTGTTTCACAACCTCAAATGCCCTTTGCTTGAAAGGTCAGGGTGCATTACCATAAAGAGCTACTTTGGACAAGTATCTCCTTGTCTGGAATATTTAGCTTGGCAAGTGGAGAATTTATTCAGCTTAAATGAACAGTTGACCCTTAACAAAAAGAAAGAAAAAAAAGAAAAGAATACTACAAAAAGGACCAGCACAGTCTCAGGAAAAGTCCAGCACTTGAGTAATCTGTCAGGAGAAAAAGCCAAAAACCAGTCAATATTACAGTCACATTGATTTTGTGGGAAAATGGGCTGAATTTTATTCCTCTGTGGATCATTTTCTGCTAGTACTGGAAGATTCTTGTTGCATTATCACGTCTGTGGAATTGACATATTCTGGAGGCATCTTTGCCATAACCAGAAGAGTTAACAGCACTAATTTTCCATTAGATTTCTACTGCAAAGAAGGATGAAGGAGGGTAAAGGAAGAAAAGGGACAACAGGACAAGAACCTTCTTATTTTATTTGCATTTCTGCAAAGAGTTCTTCTGGACAGAATTTAAAATCTCACTAAAAACAACTGTATTTTCCTGAAACGCCTTTTAGATGGGTTAGGAGAAAAATACCCTGTAACTTTCTCATAAATACAAACACAAGTGGATGGAGACAAAGAAAGAGTACTTTTATCAAGTTAAATGATAGAAAAATAGCTATTTTTGGTATTTCTATCAGAAGGGAATATTATAAGTGTCCTTCTGTGACAAAAAAAAAATATCACTTTTGGGTAATTTGGATATTTTATTCTCTAGCTTTTGAGGCAGTCAGTATATTGACTGCTCTGCAATAACTTTCTTTCCTTCTACAAATGTCCAGTAACTTTTTCAGCTGTCAACACTTCCTTCACTCCCATCCCCTGCACTGGAGGCCTTTACAACGTGATGCAGAAAATGTGTAATCTCAGTGGGTTTGCACTGTAACTTTGTATACTGGCCAGATGGAAGACAAAGCGTAGGCCAAATGCTTCACTATACTCCTGTGCATCACAGCAGATGCTGACACCTGAAGTGGTGTCATAAACACAGCCCTCAGTATACACATGTAGACAAAGGAATATTGTGTGGTGCTTTATTTCAAAATATGTAAGTCAAATACCAGCACATCCATACAGCACAGAGACTTGTTTCTACTCATCAAGTTAGGAAAGATCAGCAGCCCAAACTTCTGGAGTACATTGAGTTAGCATTTCTCAGGCCTGACGTGATGTAACTTTAAAAACACCAGTTAACCATTAGACCTGGTTTCCAAAGCCAGTGATACGATTCTGGACTCTGCAATTGTCCAGTAAAGCTCCTCGTCTGCTATCATACCATTTCAGTGGCTGAGGTGAATAATGAGGTGGAAAATGTAAAACCAAATAGTTTCTGGTATTTTTCACCATGTAATACTCCCAAACAAGTTCTTTTGAGTGGGAGTAGTTCTCAGCTTCAATGATCGATCACTCAGGTAACGTCAACCTCAGTTCACTCCATTTGCAAGTGGTAACAAAACCAGTGTGATAGGTAGGCAGGCATAGTCATTGCCTGCTTGGAGAGGGCAAAAGTCAGACCAAACCACTGCAGCCCAATAAACCTGCAACAGGATAGAAACATAAATCAGCAGTACCATTGGCTAATCAGTCTTGGACAAGGCTGTGTGAACTAAATACCTTGATGAACCCTGCTTGGTGCGAATCCCATACACATTGTATTACAGGCCATCTTCCTCTCATCGGATGCAGGATTTTTTCCACTTGTTGAAATGACATCCAGGTGCCAGTGTCAGCAAACAGATTTCATTTACACACATTAGGGAGGGGCAGTTTTGCAGAATGTACTAGTAAAAATACCTTAAGGCACCAAACATGAGGTTTCTGAAGAGGATGGGTTTCTGTACAAGTCACTAAGCCAGGGAGATGTATATGTTCCCTGCTATTGTCACTCCCTCTGGGGTGATAATACTGTGAAATCTCTCTCCTAGCTCCATCTGGTCTTTGGGTCTCCCTTGCTCATCTTGCAAAAATCTGGCAGAGACTGGAGTTCAAGGACATTCTGTGAACAACATTCACTGACACATAAGAACCAATGTAAGTGAATCCATCTGTTTTACTCATCAGATTTATCATCTGCTTGGTTCAAGATTCCACAGACCTGCAGGACTGAGTCCACCTCCCCACAGGTACCACTTAATTCCTTTTGGAAAACTGAGAGAACTCCACCTTGAAAGTTGTGCATCCTATGGTATCCTTGCTGAGCCAAGTTCTCTTGGGATTCTCTCAAATGGTGAACTTGCCATTCCTCTGCTCACTGACATGTCGGCAGCCCTTCTCTAGACCTTGCTGCAGGCTGAGTCCACTGTCCTAGAACATGCCCCAGCAGCATGAACCACATTCTTGATGTCTTACTGAGTGTTTGCACAACAGGGCTAATAGTTTCCTCTCCATCAGATACTTTCCTCCCTCTTAAGAGTGACTTTGCTCAACCCTTCCTACCATAGAGGCACTGCCAGGGGGTGGCTGCCTGGCTCCTTGGCTGTGCTCCAGTGACTTCTGGCTCCCGAACAGATGCTGAAGGAAGTTTGTAGGAGTGATTTACAAGGTTCAACTTCTGCTAAAGCTTGGTTTTGCTGCAGCTATAGCATTTCATATATACTTAATGTGTAGTAGTTTATTGCTACCATATAAGCTATATGTTATTTACAAGCAGGTCTACCTAAACCACAATAGTTAAGGTGCCATGGATAAAATCCTGAATCTTCATGCCAACTTTTGTACTAACTTACAAAGGCAGCCCTGCAAATCATGTTGGTGCTAGTATCCCTCTTGTGCTGCCTTTAAAGACTGAGTATTCTGTTGGTCTTCAATCTAAGGGCTGTAATTATGGGTCGCTTGCAAAGTGATTTCAGAGGTATTGGGAAGGGACAGATGATGACAGTAGTAATGTTATTAGTCAGCCCAGCATCTCTGCGACACATGGGAAGGGAATACATGTTCTGGGTCATTTTTACAATGTAGCTTTGCCTTGAACTGTTTTTGAGAAGACATTCTTCAAAATAATACAGGATAAGAACAATTCAGATGCGACAAAAGCAAGACAGTGTCCATGTTCTCACAGTCCTCAGGATATTCAGTACTCTTGCTGATGCTGTGAAGGTGAGCAAATGGGCTCACCACAATCTCTGCATGAGCTGTCAGTCCAGCTGTCAGTCCACCATCCCCTGAGGAAAATGTGGCAAGGCAAAATGATGTCACAGTCTTGATGTATTGGCTAAGGAGCAGACCGAAGGTTGTAGAATTTGCTTGTCTTTGCTTAAAACACCGAAATGTAGCAAAC